TTCTGCTAGCTCAAAAAAAATGCGTAGAAGTCACCGTCGAGAATCATTCATCTGAAGCGGCGACTCGTGTGAATTTTTTTACTATTAAATAACAACCATTTTGGTTGAATTCTCTACCTTACCGGTCACAATTTATCCGGAAATATTTTCTTCTTGGTTTCAATCTGTTTCATCACAACAATTGCTCCTTCACCACCACATCCGCCCTCTGCCAACGGCTCGGACAATTTTCGCTGATATAAGAGCAGCACTATGAAAACCAGCCGTCTCGATGACTGATCCATTCAAGATTCCGGTGTTTATGCCATTTTAGTCGTTCAACGAAAGCTAAAACATCCGTCCGCATTCAAGTGTCGATCGACCCCCACCATATATGTGCTCATCCGCATTGGGTCATTACATACCAATTATGAATAAATGGAGGTTTGCTCAACAACATCTGCATTCGGTAGTTTTGCTGATATTTGTTCACCGCAATTATGTAACTTTTTGCAACCTTCATACCCAGAATGAAACCATCTGCTTCAAGTAGTTTATACGACGCTGGTGGAGCTATTTACTACAAACAACAAGTATATGCCAATACACAAAACATTTGCCGCAAACGTTTCTTGATTCGCATAACGAGCATGTATCAAGAGAATCTACAAATTGTTGTGAAAAAAAAACATTCTTGTGTGGTTTTTCCTTCCACTGGAAATGAAAGTGTGAAAAGCAAATACTGATACCAGTCTAAGCTTGGCCTACAAATGGTATTTTACTTCTAATTTGCTACTTTTTACTGGATTTGCCATTTTTTGTGTTTTTTGACGTTCATTTGCAGCTCAAAAAAAATATTTTAATGACTTACAGTCTGTGTTGACGGTTGACTCTCTTCAGAAACTTAACAATTTTTTCTGCATCCATTTTTCATTTGTTTGTTTTTTTTTCCGATAAAGTCTCAGTGAATTAACGTGTTTGAACTTCGTTTTTTTACCCTCCAAAAATTTGATCTATCCTAACCGTCGAAAAATTAAGGACCGCAGTAACTACCGCAGAATCAAACTTTACACCTAGAAGAAGCGGGAAGACTACTGAAGTGCATACATTAGTAAGTCAAAATTATGCACGTAACTTCAAAAGCACGTTGCGTCGATTGTTCAACAGTTCGAAATGTATGATTGGACTCGAAAAAAATTTCATTCGATTCAACTTTGTTTGACAAAGTTCTCCATCAACAGAAGCAGAACCGACCTAATTGAAGCCTAAGATGTTGCAAGGAGATAGGTACTTGTTGTATTGGTTTTAGGTTTGTGAAAACCGAGACCTATTAGCAGTTTTTTAAATGACTACCAAATGCAGGCCTATAAACAGGTTACTATTTGACTGTCATACGAGGCCTACAAACATAATGAGAGTTGACCGCCATACGCAATCATATAAATAGTTATCAATTTGACCGCCTTACAGGGGCCTATCTGAAGAGGTATCCTGATCACACTTCTTTATTTCAGAAAGAATTGGAGAATTATCCACGCCTGTGGTTCACTCAGTCACCTTAAAGTGGGAAAAATTGCAAGAAGTGCACTTTTTGGTGAACAACCTTAAAAAACCTGTAAGACTGTTCAGATCTGACCGCAAACTTATTTTTTTCTTGAACCTTCCAGTGCTATTTTGAGACATTTGAAACATTATGCGAGTTTAGTAATAATCAGTCACAACCGTATTTTGAGACATTTGAAACATTATGCGAGTGTAGTAATAATCAGTCACAATCAGAAAACATTCTTTAAAAAAAGAGAAAGCAAAAGCACTTAGGCCAACATTTTTAGCCAAAAACGGTTACGTCACAAAATCGACTATTTAAAAGGGGGCCTAGGAAATTAGACGATAAGCAAATTAGACGGATACTACAAAAACGAAATTAGACGGAATTTACTTTTTTACAGATCTGGCATTTTAGACGAAAAAGCTATGAAAAGGAAAGGGCCAACAAAATTTTTTCTTAAGAGTCAAGTTTCACAAATACAAAAAGAACATAAAATGTCAATACCTATCAAAACAATTAGTTCAAATGAACATAAAATGTCAAATCTGATAATCACAGGAGAGTTTTGAATTGAATAAATTATGCATGATTGAGTTGTAAAGTTTTTGGCCACCGAAATTGAACTGTTGTCTACAAACAATTTTATTTTTCTAACGCAATTTGTGTGCAAACAAAGTTAATTTCTCTCGCTTTCGTCTATTTTCTCACAATTGCAGTTTTGCAAAACCGTCTAATTTCCTTTTAAGTACCTCCGTCTAATTTGCTTATCGTCTAATTTATCAACCCCCATTAAAACGGTTTGATGAAATGCAAATTGAATATGCAAATCAGTGAATATTTTTTTTATACGCAGCTGTAAATCACAACGCATTGAATTGGCTTTTGAACAAACAATGAAAACAAAGTAACGGCTGTGATACTTTGGTTTATGATGTTCTTAGGTCTTTTGTCGCACTTGGACAAATATTGCTAGCTGCATTGGAAAGGCAAGCCTGATTGTAGGCGTTATGGAATTGCTTGTGTTTTTCGCTCGGTTTTAAAGTCTCATAGGAACCTTAAAGGGGGTCAGCTGTGATACTCAATTATAGGTCTTCACAGCGTGTCTTGATTATTTGTTTTAGAAAAAATTCTAAATGTCTAGAAAAAACTAGTTGCGAAAAATTGGTTTGAACATTTTCAATTTTAGACGAGGTTAAGCAATAATCAAATAGAAGTTTATCTTCAAATTTCTGAATCTTGCAAACAATTTCAGTTAGTATTCAATAAATGTTTAGCTGGGTAACGGGCGTTTACAAAAACGTTCTGCTTATCTTTTTAAAAAGAATTCTTTTAAGAATTTTTTAGTTGCATTTGTCATAAAAAACTGATGTTGCAATCGAAATGCGGGCAATTTTTATAGAAAAATTCAAAAAATCAAGAACCTTGTGAAAACTTTGACTCAAAAGGTGTTCTTTAAAAAAAAACATGCAATCTTTGTAAGCCTAAAAAAGAAGAACTGCTAGGAACTGCAATTCAGAGCGCTGACTTCTTGGTTCAGAATCTACATCAATTTTTGAATGCATGCTCACCCGTAGCTAGTAAATGTTCTAATTCAGATCTGAAATTGCAGAAACATCAAAAATAAAAACTAAATTGTTTGCTTGAAATGCATAAATTATAATTTAACAAAGGGTTTCGCAGATCTAACTTCAGATCTAAAATTTTGTTTTTCAAGGCTATTTCAGATCCGAAATTTGCAAACTCTCACCAAGATCTGAAATTAAAAATTTTCAGATCTGAGAATCAACTTATGTAAGAAATAAAGAATTTCAGATCTTGCACAGAAAATCTCCTGGGTTCACAAATTGTTGAGCGAGTTCGATTGGGAACAAAAAATTATATATACCAGAGAAATCAGAATCTTCTGAAACCTCTATTTTTTTTACTCTTTGCGAGAAAATTTAGGGAAATTCAAATAGTTTTATCAGGCTGGTTTTTTAACTCGATGTTGAGTGCATGTTTTATGTGCATGAAGATCCGAGCAATGACTTGTTTAATCCAACTGATAAATAAATTTTAAGGTATGAAAACATCTATTATTCAGGGCTTGATAGAAAAACATTCAGGGCAAACATTCAAAAAAAAACGTCGATGAATGGTTATCATTTTAAATTTACTAAATTTTAGAACGCTTAACCAGTGCTAAACAACAAAAAAAATTGCTTTTGTAGCGATAAAATTCAATATTGCATCATTGGATGTCGCGTTATGTTAACCGAGGTTTTTTGAGGAAGCAAACTTCCGATAGAAAAAATTCTTCTGAGTTTACTTGGACGTTTTCTGGTCTTAAAAAGAAACAAACAAGGCTCCAATTACAATAACAAGGAAATGGTTTTGGTTACCAAACTTCATTTTTTGCTTCCGTCTCGTATCTAAGATTTTATCGAATGGGGGGGGGGCAGAACTAACGAACTATGAAAAAAAATGAAACATGTGTCAATCTGTTTTTAAGTCGACCAATTTCGTTTCTCGAGCTATTCGATGACATTGTAGGAACACTGTTTTCCCATTCATTCTAGGGCAAACTTCAGAAAAACAATGGCCTTTTAAGGCCATTGCGAAAATTTTCGGTGCGCGCTGGCTCTCCAATGTCAGTGTATATTGTCTTATTGGTACCAAAAGCACCTTTTAAAAGGGGATCTTTTGAGCAGTCAGTGGGTCGAAACCCTAATGAGAGTTAAACCCAATTCCGCTCCTGTACTGAACCCCCTTGCAACATGTTTGCAAACTTAACCTCAACATCAGGTGGGATCTAGACTTTGTCTGCTTCAAGGTCGACTTTTTTAAAAATAAAAATAGCTTCTAAGCAGTGACTTGATACATGTGGTTGTCTAGTCCTGAATTGTCTGGTGGATGTATTTCTGGAACTATTGCGTCATTTTTTTCTGCAAAACTGAACTACCCTTTTATGCCAATTCTCTTTTTTTCTTTGAGCATATGATAGTCAGGTTTTTGCGAACTGAAGTAGTGAAGGGAAAAAACTCATTTTAAAGCCTTAAATAGAACGTAAAGAAGAAAGCGCCGGTAACCTACGCAAAATTCTGCCCGTAACCTCCCGCAAAATGAACAACTTTCGCCCAAAAAAGGGGGAAAATGGTTAGTGTGGAAGAACCTCAATTTCGGGTATAACATCATAGCTAGCTCAATTTTTACTAACCTGCGAAAAATAAATGTTCATATAGGCAATCGCATAGCATTTGCTATTTAAATTGAAGACACCACTTGATTTTTAAGCCAGGTTATTTTTGGTGAAGCAATGCGATATTTTTTCTCCAAATGACAACAACATTTAGTAAACCATGACGGCCTCAATTTTTTTATCATCAACAAGCATAGCTAACTTGTCTTTTTCGGTGTTCTTGTTATGAGTTTTTGTTATTATTATATGAGTTGTGTTTATTATAATCTAGTCTGTTCCCTTTTTGAAAACAAATTTATCATTCAAACTCTTTGTTCAAAACATCAAATTGAGACCAAATTTCGGCCAAATAGCAGCAGTGCACTTGAAGCTGATCATAATAATAGAAATGAAGAACTGGAAAGCAGTGATGGCCATAAAACATGTAACTGCGCTGGGGATAAATAAGACGACGTGATATTAGGACGACAAGAAATTAAGACGACATTACCAAAAGATCAAGACGTGGAAAAACCAAACTTCTGTTACTCAAATTTTGAATTCTTCATGCCCTATTTTTCTGTCTAGTTTTCAAACTAGTTCAAAAAACTTGAAGTTTAGAGTAAAATTTACCCTATATTTGATTTCTGTAGATAAATTCTCAGCTTGAGTTCTTGTTGACTGTTGAATTATCTGTCATCTTATTTTGACCATCAAATGTATAGAAAGCAACTTGCAAATGTTATTTACTTTTTAAATCACAGATCATTCGAGAAAACATCACAATTTTTTATCTTTCTGATCAATTTTTTACATTCAAAATATTTTGTTGACTTGAGTGAAACTTCTTTTGGAGAAAAAACTTTTTCTCACTCCTTGTTCAGATTGGCGAGATGCCGAAATGAATTTTTGAGACTTTTCAGACTGCAGAAATGTGCCAAGTGCCCTTTTTGGGGAGTGGTTCTTCGGCTGTGAAATCAATCGCGCCAAAGGTCGTGTTTGCTTCAACACCGCTCGTCATGATTCGGAAGGGCATCTCTGTTTTCGGGTGGACTTGATGCTCTTTCAGAACCGCTGTTTTCAGAAGCGTCAAATCACTTCTGCTGATGTACACTTGGTAAAGAGCAGTTACGGGTACGGCTAGACAGCTTGACAAGGCAATTGTCCAGCCAATAATTGAGCTCCAAAGCGGGTAGGTGTAGTCGGCATACTTCAGTGGTGAGAATTTTAGCCAGTAGATCACGGTTATGAAGACGCAAATCACAGGAGTTGCAACGTACCAGCAAAACAGAAGATAGAGCTTCATGACTTTGCCAATGTGCATCATTGATTCGATGTCGTTCATGAATCGTTTTCCGCCGTAGAGGTATGCAATTGTGATGGCCTGGGAAAAGCAGAGAAACAGGACCACAAATCCACTGGCGGAGTAAAAATCCAGAATCTGGAAGAAGTACATTCCGGCATTTGTGGTGAAAATGAGTCCAATGCTATAACAGAGAATGCTCACAAAGGTTAAGAGAACTTGGCGTGAAAAACGGAATCGAAATAATTTTGGAACCGCGTCCATAATCTGACATGTGAGTCCTTCCACCGCCACGAATTCACTGTCAAGTCCTAGGAACAACATCATGAAGAAAAAGAGAGCCGAGAGCACCTTGGATCCGTAGGGTATCAAGGACAGCGCCTTCGGGTACGCGATGAAGGTCAACCCCGGTCCCTTTTCGGTGACCTCGGTAATCGGAATGTTTCTCTCATGGGCCATGTAACCTAAAGTGGCAAAAATGCAAAACCCTCCGATAAAACTAGTCATACAATTTACAATTGAATACATGAACGAGTCACGCAGGCTGTTGTGATGGAACTTGTTGTAGCTTCCCAACGTCGGCAGGGTTCCCTCGCCCAGTGCCATGGAAAACAGGATCTGGGTTCCAGCATCTAGCCAGACCGAGCCCTGCCACAGCTTGGAAAAGTCGGGTTGGAGGTAAAATTTCACGCCCGTCATTGCGCCTTCTAAAGTCAATGCCCTAATGAGAAGGATTAGCAACATTGCGTAAGGTACCAAACCGGTGAACCATACAATTTTTCCGGTCCACTTTATGCCTCTGATGATACAAACGTAGACTATGATCCACGCCACCAGAAGACTCAACGCCATGTGAAGTTGGACACCGCCAATTGATTCCATACTTTCAGACAGTCCTAGAACTCCTTTAGTCCAGAACAACTCGGCTGGTTCCTTGAAATCAGCGGGAGAACTTCCGTTTAAATCCTCGGAGCTCATCTTGAACGTGTCGTTGTGACAAAACTTGCCGTAACTTTCGAGACATGTTGTCCAAGGTAGAGCTTCTAAAGTCAAGGTTGAGTAGAAGTAGTAAATAATCCAGGCTATGATAACTATATAGTAAAGCGAGACATAAGACTGGATGAAAATCGAAGCCACTCCTAGACCTTTGGAGAGGGGGTAGAGGTTCCAGGCGTCCGGTCCACTTCTGGACATGAATTGTCCAAGGGCAATTTGAAGGAAAAGGAGAGGAACTCCGACTCCAAAAAGAGCAATGCAGTAAGGAATCAAGAATACTCCGCCGCCATTTTTGAAGCACAAGTAGGGAAACCGCCAGATGTTTCCCAGGCCGACGCTGAACCCTATTAGGGTCATAAGGCAATCAAACTTACCTGACCAAGTTTCGCGCCCTTTTTGACAGGAATTGTCAAAACTACGGTGAGCATTTCTTAAGCTATTTAATATTTTCTTCATATGTGAGGGGCAGTTTCCTTGTAAAATGAACAAAATTAATGTGTTTATTTTTTGTGATTGAGATGGCCCGTTGAAAAAGTACAAAAATAGAATTTTGAAAGTATGATTTCCTGCTCAAGTAAAACAAGTGTATTTTGTGTATTTCTCGCAACAAAAGTAATTTTCGGCAAATTTTCCATCAAGTTTTAACTATTCATTTTCAGAAGGACTTTTCTACGAAATAAAAAAACTATCAAAATTTTATGCCAATGAGTAGTTTTGACGATGTCTGCCTTCGCGGTCAATCGTGGCTATTTCTGGAGCTACGTTGTCCAAGGATTTCTCTTTCTTTGTCATCGTCATATCGATCGAGGGCCCGCAAGTTGGACACAAACAACGAGGTAATTTAGCCAAAAATAAAATTCAAAAAAGTCTACGTACAAAAATGGACAGTGCAAATCACACTGAAACTAAAAAATCTAAGATTGAAGGGGGATCTTCAAAGATTCCCCCTTTCTCTTCAAAGATTCGACCCCCTGACCATCCACAATGTACACTCTTTGGCTCTATTTTATTTTGGTCGACTGAAAACTACTGAAAACTTTCTAGAGGCTCATTATAGGTGCTAATTTGCATTAGATTTAAAAAGAACGTGCAACAAAAAGCATAATTTTGATCATATGTTGGCAAATATATTGAAAAAACGACGATTTTGCCTGGTTTTTTTTTCAAAATTTTATCCGCTATTAAGAAATTTTTGACGTTTAAGGCCTTCGTAGTATTGCAGAAAAGCTCAGAAAATCAATTTGGGCACTAAAATTATGTGATAAAATTTTTTTAAAAACAGTCCACGAGAAAACTCTAGATCCATGCCTATTTAAAATTTTGGTTATTTGGATTTTCAAAATTGAAAAAATTTTGAACTGAATTTTGAGAAAAATTCAATTGAATTTTTTTGGCTAAACTACCTTTGTATGGGTCACAGAATACACAGAAGTCGACGAAGGTATCGTTGGCTAGATAGACAACTTGAACTTGAGAATAGGTCAATTGAAAATAATCAACAACGTCTTTAGATTCGATCTGTCTTTGAGTTTGTGCACCAAGCGAGACAAAAGAAACACTCAATGCTTCTGCAAACGAATTGAAGAAAAATCTGAAAAAAAAACAAACGCAGTTTCTAAACAAGATTGATTGGTGTCTATAATGGCAATGATTTGATAAAAAGGAACGGATATACCTGCTGTTGATTGAAAGACACCAATTGACAGCTATATAGTAAGCCCGCCTCAATTAAAAACTAAATCTAAATTTAAGATTAACGGGCTTTATTCAAGTTTATTGTGTGAGATTATCTCGATGAAAATTTTGACCATTTGTAAAACAAAATCGTTCAGAACTAATTGCACTCAGAAAGACTCTTTCGTAAGAGTAGTAAGTTTCCCAAAAAAGGAAATCAAGTTCTTTGTAATACTGAACCTCTTTTATATTACAAAAGCTGATTTTTTATACGATTAAGGAACAATTAATAGTTCAACGAAAATAAATTCTGAGTTAACCGAAAGCTAAGAAATAGAATTTACCTTTTTCTGGTCTGGGAACTTCAAATCTAAAGCAGAATTGACTCTTACAGGATTGATAGAATCGATGGATGGCTGAGCTAAATCGAACGTGAAGAAAAGGATAATGCACCAAATGATCTGTGACGTAATTGAGGAATTAAGAAGTTTATCTTTGAAAATCTCTTTTTTTTCAAGCTCAGTCTGAAACAAAATGAGATTAAGTTCAGACGATTACGAAAAAGGCAGGTGAGCTGAGTTCAAACTAAACAAGAGAAGCCGGTTGCTGATCAATTCAGAAAACTCCGAACAGGATTCTGAACTTTCTCGGTATTTTCACCAATTTTTTTGTCATTTTTCTTTTTTCGGTGAATGGGTCGGTTAAGTCCCATAAGTACCAACGTTCGTAGCATCCAAATTAAGTTCAAAATTGGTTTTTTCTTATTCTGATTGGTTGAAATCAAATAGAAATTAAATAGAACAGCTTGTTGATTGCTGAAGACCTTAAACCGAGATTCGGTTAAAATAGTCTTCGACTAATTGGAAAAAATGGTTGAGCAAAAATTAAGCAAGTGTTTTTTAATTTAGGCACTGACTTTTCACCTTGGAACCTATGAATACGCACGGGTGAATTCCTATAAGTCGCAGCATTCGTAATTCTCAAAATAATAGGTTCGAGAGCGGTCAAAAATAGACACGTCACAAACCAATCAAAATCGAGCTAAGAAAACAAAATTGCGACAATAATGATAATTTTTTGCTCCGACCATTGAAAATGGGGATGAACTTTTTGTTTGGGTATGTTTTATTTTTTTTTGTTTTCCACGCAAAATCAGGTGCCACATATAATAATCGAAATTGTTCGTGTGATATAAGAAATCAAAACCCTTTCAATCGTGATTTAATTTTCAAAAAAAAATATCCAGAGTCGAGAAAAACTGGCTGGAACTTTTTTTTGTTCCGACTTTCGATACGAAAGTAACGGAATATTTGTGCTCGGGGTGGGTTTTTTTCTTCTTCAGACAAATTTCGACTTTTTAACTAGCCATTTTTGACGGAATTTTTTTATATCATTCGAAAGGTATTGTTGCCCTGAGCTTAAATTTGAAAAGATATTTTACCTGTGATCATTTTTTGTAAAGTTACGGGGGTTTAAAGATTGCCATTTTGGCCAATTTGGGACAATTAACGCGCGATATATTTCGCTCTATTAACACGTAAGCGGAGAGTTAATCCGTCTTAGAAATTGTTCCAAATTGGTTACAAGATGCGTATTTACCATAATTGATTTGTTAAAAGGAGCGAAATCTATCCTTTTGTACTTAATATGGCGTGTGGGGGATGATTTTCAAAAAAAAATTCAAATTTTGGGGAAAAAAAATTTCATTTTGTTTTAATTCATTTAAATTTTTAATATTATTACTGCTTAATCCGTCTTAGAAATTGTTCCAAATTGGTTGAAAGAAGCTTATTTGCCATAATTGATTTGTTACAAGGAGCGAAACCTATCCTTTTGTACTTAATATGGCGTGTGGGGGGATGATTTTTATTTTAAAAAATCAAATTTTAGAGAAAAAAAATTTTCATTTTGTTGTAACTAATTTAATTTTTGTTATTACTGCTCCATAAACGTTAAATGGCGGTAGGAACATTCAGGGCTTCGCCCTGATACGAGCAGTCTTGTTTTAGTTTAAATTCGAGCGTGTAAACGATCATAAAAGACAATTTGTTTTTTTTTATTCTTTAACTTGATTGTAATAAAAAAAAACTAGTTTTGGATGTATAATTTAGTCTTTCTTTGGCTATAAAAGTTCTCTGAAAAAAAAAACATTGTGCAAAAACAAAACTGGAAAAAAATCCAGCTTTCAGTATTTTTAATTTTGTTTTTACTTGTTGTTCCTTTTTGAAACAATGAAGTCAATTATGTCTAATTCGCTAAGACTCTGTGCGAGTTTAGTTCTCGAATCGCACCACGCACTAAAACCGACACTAAATTGAAGAAAAGAAACGGAAAAAAAATCTTTAAGTTTTCTTTATCAATATGGTGGGAACGTAACCGGCTAACCTTGTTATTCTTGCGTACATTTGTTTTTTATCGGAAATCTGATTGATTAACGACGTGTACTTATATGACCTAATTTTTTTTGCTACGCACACTTTTGAATCAGTTGCATGTGTCCCAAAATTTTTCTTCTTGAAGAAATCTGATTGGTTGAACTTACAGCCAATGAAAAATTTAACTTATAAATAATGTTCAAACAGCGTAAAACAAAACAGGTGGTCGGTCAATCAATATGCAGAATGGTCTAATTACAGAATAATTCTAAGAGCAGAAAAACAGAAAAATATTAACTTTTATGCGCTGATCGGTAAATTAAACATAAGAAAGATCAATATGGTCAACAAAACTAAAAACTTATGCATACTTTGAGTGAGTTAATCGAAAAATTTTTTAAATTCAATGAAAAAAAACTTGAATAAATCATTCAATTCATGAATAAATCATTCATTTTCTTGGTATTATTGACGATTTGATAACTGTGTTATCAATTAGCCCGTAATAATCAGTAAAGGTTAATAGTTTTCTGGTTTTCTGCTTTTGGACCCATTCTGCTCCTAGGCAATTCTGCTTAATGCTCCGCCTTCGATAAAAACAGCATAAAAAACACCGCAGACGCGATAGACGAAAGGATTCAGGCGGTCTCGAACCGAGAGTCGGCTCAATTAGTCTTCAATCAATTAAAACAATTTTAAGACATTTGCGACCACTTTTTTTGGAAACAATGAGAGTCCTTCTTTATTTCAAGATGACTTGAGTCTTTCGGAACCTAAAACCGACCACACAGTTAATGGGATGGGTTGTCTTTGTTTTTGATTGGCTAAGTTTCGACCAATCATGATACAGCCAGTAGCCCTTGAGCACATTATTCACTTCAATAGATTCAAGTAGCATTTACGGAAGACTCAGTAGAAAATCATCGAGGTGAAAAAAGTTTCGAGAAATAAAAAAAGTGTTGAAGAGTGCCAAAAATAGCTTCGGAATAAGTCAAAGTGCCGGAAAATTTTGGTTTGCTGGGCTTTTTGCAAATTTAAATCAACATACGCTAAAGTGAAAGCAAAAACGAAATTATTCCTGACCGGCGGTGTTTTGTTTAATATAAAATTTGACTTAAAAAAATAAAACAATAAATCGTATGAACTAGCACAAAAAAAATCGAAATAGATGTTTTCGAAAACAAACGTATGATTAAAAAAATAAATCTCAGCTTTTCACACAATTAACCATTAGTGCGACAGTCAGTTTCGAGTTTGAGACATTACAGGATAGTTTTGACTGATCACGAGTTATCAGTTGAAAAATCTTACTTGTTTGATGATTGCTTAATTTCTCCATTGCTCATTGTTCTTGCACTCAGAAACATGCAAGCAATTCCTTCATATTTTTCTTCTAATCTAACTGTCTTTTTGAAGTTCCGCACTTCAAGTAGACAAAATAGATTAGACGAGAAAGATAAAAAGGGGTTGGATGTCCCCACAGAAGTGCGTTCGAGAGTTCCGACCAACTGACCAAATTTTCGCATTGAATGCTGTCGCAATGGAGCCCCTTATGACAGGGAGGCCTCAAAACAAACCAACCCAGGTCATAAAATTTATTGCAAAATAAACAGATTGTAGTATCACGATTTTTTGAATATTTTTAGAGAGAAAAAACACAGGAAATACTTAATAGTTCATGGAGACAGACTATTTAGAACTAGGAAGGAAAACACCAAATATAGAAGAACCGCACGACTTGAATATGCTTTTATTCATTTTCTGTCAAAAAAAGCGTAGCGTATAGGGACTGCTTCTTACAGTTCTTACAAGGACTTCTTACAGTACAGGGCTTTCTTACAGTGGGTTAAAATGTTCCATTATTCGGCTCCTTTATTGTCGCTCCAAAGTTGTCGCCATATTAGCTAGACAACCTTCATAAACTTTTGAGGCGTGACTACCCGGGTCGAGATCCGACACTTATGCCCAGACTCAAAATCATAGTTGTACAGAGAGTTTCAATCTGGACGTAGAGTCGCGCAGAGGGTCGCGAAGTTCTGGACTTACCAAAATTTGGTCGCAAAAATCAGGACACTTGCTAGGTAAATAAGACGACAAGACATTGAGACGACATGAAGTTAAGACGACAAATGAGAGTTAAAGCACGTGAAGTGGAAATGATTTTAAGTGAATTCACTTTCTAGAATTGGATAACTTGTCTAAAATTGGATAACTTGTTTGAGGCGTCGCCTTAAAATCTCACCAAAAGCAGTTGTCGTCTAAACATTTGTCGTCTTATTTGTCAGATACCAGTCTGAACATATAGTCGCGAAAGTCACAATTCTCAAAATGAAGTGTCAGATAACAATAGAAAATATTTTTCTTCTTAATAAAATTAAACCACTCGGATGAAAAAACAATACAGCTCAAATGAAGCACCTTTCAACATTCAACCACTCGTAATGAGAGTTCTCATAATTTAATTTTTTGGCATCTAACAAAAAATAAAGGCAGGTAGATCTATTCACAAGACAGAAAGTCTCAACGGCAGAAAATTTCAACTTATTCAAACATAGGTTTGACAATGCTGAAAGTTTTGATTGGTCGAAAAATTTGGGCCTTTCTGTCATGAAAAAAGCCTAAGTTCGTGTGTTTTTTTAATTACCATGTATACGAAACTTTTATCGATTGAGCTATACGATTTTTTCGATCGGCTTAATTCAGCTTCTTTAATATTGCCTCAATTAATTGACGTCAAGTTTCACTACCCCCATCACATACCGGGTCATTAAATGTTGAAGGGTGATCAATTTTTGCCGCCGGTTTTTTTCATATTGATCATATTGTTTAATTCATATTGTTTTTCTCGAAGTAGCAGCTTTACACGAATGGTTTTACAATTTTTCATAAAACGCGAATGTTTTATCGACTTAACTACGCTTTTCTTTGAGTGCTGAATCTGACACCATGTAGCTAATATAACATTCAGTCCTTTGGTAAAAGTTTCAATTGTATTCTTTCATCGCGCCTTCAATCTGAGGGTTGTCTCCAATTAAAGTGTCTAGATTGATTTGACAATTTTTTTCTTGCCATTTAAATTAGCTGTTTTGTTGTTCAAAAAGTATTGTTCTGTGCAAAATTCACTTGGGCCCGCCTGATTTAAGTGAGTT